TCTTTTCAAGAAATAGTCAAGTAGTCATGACCACTTAGAATTGAGTAGTTCAGAATTTAAAAAAACAAAAACAAAAACAAACAAAAAAACCCAAAAAACAAAAAACACCTTAGAGATTAAAAAAAAAAAAAAAAATCCAACCCTTCTCTTGTCCCAGTCCCTTCCCAACCCCATCCCCTGCTGTATTTTTACCCTGGTTGAAAGCAAGCTACTAAGTTTCTCTCAGACTCATCTCAAATATCTTTGCTCTATCATTGCTCCAGGAAACTCACCACCTCCTCAGGCCCAATTCATTCCAAACTGGTGATTGATCAGCCATTGCATAATTCATTCAATGAATATATACTGCCTTGTGTCAGGCACTAGGGACCAGATCTCCTCATTTGGAGATAAAAATCTGACTCTTTTACCATTTTGGGGGGTAGGGGGAGTGGGGTTCTGTCTGCCCTTAGGGATTACAGGGAACCCTAACTATGCTGCATAAATTGGTCCTGAATTAAATTAGAATATAAGGTGGTAGGTCCCCCCCACTCCCTTCTCCATTACACTCATCCCCAACAGTTCCTCCCCCACCCCCACCCCCATCAGAGCCTCCTCCCCAACACCCCACCACCACAGCCTTGGATCTTTTTATCCAGAAAAGAATTTCAAATTCTTGTGCCTAGAGGTTTTAGAAAGTTTCACTCAAAGTCACTCCTCTGGAGACACTAATTTTCCAGATTCTTCAAATCACTCAGAGCTGAGTTCTGAATTCATGCTGACTGGCTCCTGAATCTATACTCTTAACCAGTCCATTCTAGTGCTTCTCAATGAATGAGAGTTTTCTTTTCCCTCTCTACCTACAATGCTCTTTACCCTCACTTTTTCACATAACTCCTAGTCATCCTGCAAGACCCATCTGTAGGAGCACTCCTTTTCTCTAACCACCACGAGCAGAGATTCTTCTGTAACCCCAGAGGACGTTATTTGTACCTGTCTTCAGCACATCTCCTTATACTGAGATGTGCTGAAGGCACACACGGACACAAACGGACCCCCCTTTACCCACTGTGAAGGTACAGACTCCTGGTGAAGGAACAATTTCCTTTAATTGCCCCCTAGTAACTACCCAGAGTTACTAAAACTCTCTGTTTGAATGCCAAGATTGATGACTTGTGTTAAAATATTCATATAAAGAATATATAAACGTGATGGGGTTGGGTCCCACCTGGAGAGAGGTCTCTCCTGGCCTTCATCACTGAAGAAGAGGCGATCACAAGACAAGGGAGCCCCTGAGAAGCTGCAGACTAGATATCAGTGTTAATCAAAATCAAGCTAAGATGTCTCGTATGAAGCTCCTAAGCAAGGAATGTTAAGATAGCACCCACTCAGAAAAGACAGTCCAGAAGGCAGCTAGGACATGAGGAACCCAAAGTACCAAAGGTGGGTATGTCCCCTAGAGACAGAATCTAGCTATACGCAAAGCAAAGACAATCTCAGAAATGGCCAGGGAGTTCCCAGAACAAGTTCTGTACTATGATAGCACCAGAAATCTGAACTTTGAAAACAGATTGTTTTTATATTTCTTATGTTCCCTTATATTTCCTTCCTTGGTATCCAGCAAAGTTCCAGGCTGTCCTAACTGTGCTAAGATAAACTGAGGGTGAGGGTTTTTATGGACTCTTTGGCCTGACGATTAGAATATTATCAACCCTCTACTAACAGCAGCAGTAGGATGAAAATGGTAATCCAAGTGAAAGAATCCCCCAAAAGAAGATAAAATGTAGGAGACAATAAGGGCTATGGAATCCGGCTACTCTCCCCCATCCAAAAATTCTCTTTTCAATACTAAATCTTGGAGGTTGTGGTTTTGTTTTATTATCTTCTAAAACTACCCCCCCTCCACTAAATTGTATCTTGAAAGGATCTTGCCATTTCACCAATGCAGTATGTGCAAGTGTTCAGAACACAACAGAAATGTAAATGTTTGTTGATGGCATGAATGAAACAATGCATGGACTTTCAAAGTTTTAAGGCACCCTGAAGACCACCCAGTCCACTCCTCCCAAAAGTGCACATTTGTCCACACAGGGCTTTAATAGGTTGTCATAAAAGTCAATCAACAAATATCAACTAAATGCCTATAATAGTTAAGATGCTTTCAGGAACAACAACAAAAGTATATCAGTCACTGATACACAACAAATGTCAGGCACTTTGCTAGGCCCTAAAGATACTACAATAATAAGACACACGTGGGAAATCACACATGTGATTCCCGACGCCTTGCGGTGGAGAAGATGACTGGACCGTAAGTATCTACAATATTGTTTAAAATAGAAAATGTTAAGTGTTTTCTAAGGTTAGATAAAGGCTATCTGGATTCAAGAGGTCAAAAAGGGAAACCAGGTTTCCAAAGAACTTCCAGGACACTGCCAGACAGGATAGGACGTTATTTGTGATTTAACCTTAGAGTTCAGGAATGAAAACTATTAGTTTCTAGTTGAAGCAGTTAATGGAAATGGCTTTGTATGTATTGATGAAAATCAATATTCTATCTTCATATCTTTAGCATTATGTCAAATGGCATTGACAGTGGATTCTGAAAGAATACATATCAATTCTCTTTTAATGAAAACCATAATCAAAACTGAGCTCTAAATAACAAAGTTATTATCACCTGTGAGCATGGAAACACAGATTTGTCGAGTATTAGTAAAATATATGTAAAGAATAATTCTGGACTTATGTGTGGGCCTTATTTATTTAACAGTAACTCTATAATAAAATAATTCCTAGTTTAATAAAATAATTCTAGTTTACATTGTAGACTAGAAAAGTGAAAATTAAGCTACTATATAGCTAAACATCACATTTTTGTCCTGTAATCAAATGAGATTTATCTTTCAGTTTCTTTCATATATGCTACTTCAGCTTCTCCAAACACCTTGAAATGCATCCTACTTAAGCTGCTTCCTTCAAGATAAACACACTAGAAGGGGAATCAGGAGACTCAGGAGCTAAGCCTGGCTTCACCACCTGCTACCTGAATTTGGGCAGGTAAATGCTCTGGCCTAAATTTTCTCATCCATAAAATGAAGCAGTTAGAGCAAATAACCTCTAAAATCCCTCTGAACTCTTAAGACAACAACAACAACAAAAAACCCCTGAAAACTAACCTCTACTCCCAAACCATCAACCAAAGCAAAAAGTTTCAAAACTAGTATTAAAGAAGCTTAAGTTTAACCACCTTTCTCCTTCATTTACTTGACTCAACAAACTTATTTATGAATTTCCTACAGCAGTTAGGTTCAGCAGTTTCTTCTACAGCAGTTATAGACTGGGAAAGTGACATCAATATATCGCTTTAGAAACAAATCCGTAACAAATTTCTAGGTCCAGAAGCAATCTCCTTAATGGAATTTTGCCTCTATCAAAAAACTAAACATGGGCGCCTGGGTGGCTCAGTTGGTTAAGCGACTGCCTTCAGCTCAGGTCATGATCCTGGAGTCCTGGGATCGAGTCCCACATCAGGCTCCCTGCTCAGCAGGGAGTCTGCTTCTCCCTCTGACCCTCCTCCCTCTCATGCTCTCTGTCTCTCATTCTCTCTCTCACAAATAAATAAAATCTTAAAAAAAAAAAAAAAAAAAACTAAACATTTATAAACTTCTTTGTGAATTTCAAAAGGTTTTTAAACCATGTACTCCATTTCAGCAATGTATTTCTTCTGTTCACTGTAGACTGCTTGCCACTGGCCTATGTTTACAATTTTCCCCATTGGATCTAGGAAATGAATAGAGCACCTTTCGGCCATTTGTAGGGAGTATGATGTAGACAAACACGTGTGATTAATATACTCATCTTAGTTATACTGAAGAACCCATCATATGAATAGACCTATCAGGCAAATTTTTTTGAGGCCACACTGCATACAAAGTGCTGAAATGACTATAAAGACAGTAATGAACACGTTGCTGCTTTGCCCCTACCCGCAACTGTACTGGTCACAGAGGAAAAATTCCTCTACCTCAGCATAATTTGAATTTACATTAGGAAAACCTAACTACTGTTTTAAGGTAAAAGCCCCTTGTCATATACCTCTATAGTGTTACATTTTTTAGAACGCTAGTTGGTATTATCGAAACAATTCTAGATAAATACCATAATTACTATATTCAAGCATCATTCCTATGGAAATCAGCTTCATCGGCTTAATTTCTGCATATTAAATGAATTAAGTTAAAGTGCAAACGCTATTGTCTGAAAAACAAGGGAAATTATTAATGGCAGAACAACTGGCTCCACTTCTGCAAATTAAGCAAAATTAAGCAAAAAGAAAGGAAGCAAGCAAAGGGAAGGAACTCGAGAGCTATTTGCAGCAGTGGTCCCTTGCAAGTTCCAGGCGCTTCCCCTTGAGCTCGAAGAAATAAGAAAATGAGAGCAAAGAAGAGGGCACCTCTCCTTTCGGGCAGAAGCCCAAAGTTATACTCTCTTCACAACTTGCAATATTCATTGAGTTCAGTGTAAGATGTACAGGAGATCTGGATTCGGTGGGACTGTCTGGGAGAAGGGAGTGGCATTTACTCTCCGTCTGGAGCCCTAAGAACTGTACCAGAGTACTCCAAAACCCTTAGTTATCTAGCAAAGGCTCTCGGAGCATCCTCCCCACGCACACACCTGCAGGGCTGGGCGGCCCCACCCTCCTCCCCTCCCGTCCTTAGGGCTGGACCAAGGGCCAGTAGCCGGCGCACAGTTAGTCCAAGGACCACCCTGGCCGGGCCTGCGCCACCCGCCCCGGGCAAGGCCAGAGCGCACGCCGCTGTCTGGTCTCCGCTTCCCAGAGCCACGCAGTGGCGGCGGAGCTCAGCTGGACACCAGCACCACCAGGATGCGTATTATAATAAAAACTTGGGGGAGTATGTCTACACTTGCGCCGACGTGGAGGCACAGCCCGGGACGTGGGCTCCGGGACCGCCGGCCCGTCCCGCCCCTCCTCGCGGCCGAGGGGCGGCGGTCCGTACCTGTCCTCCGAGACGCTGATGACGCCCTCCTCCTTGGGCACGATCACGGCCATATTCACCACCTCCTGGGACCCCTCGACCCGCTGCAGCAGGATGGGCTTGCGGGTCAGCGGCTTGGGCTGGATCTCCGCCGCCATCGGGAGGAGGGGGCGCGCCGGGGGTGCCGCCGACAACCGCGCCGCGGGGCCGGGCTAAGGAGACCGCTCGGGTACGGGCACAAGCTGAGACAGGGACTCTGGGTGACCGGAGCGGGACGCCGGGGACCCGCGATCATAGCCTGGCCGCCGGTCCGGGAACGACTCCGCGCTCCCGGCTTGGGGCACCGAAACCGCCACGACCCGGGCTGCAAGCCGGCGCCACCACCGGAGGAGGGGGCGGAGAGCTGGGGGGCGGAGCCGGGAGGGGGCGGTGCCTGCCGCAGGGGGTGGCCGCTGGTGGGCGCGAGGGCGGCTGCACTTCCGGAAGAGTGGCGGAGGAGGAGAGGAAACCTGAAGGAGGAGGCGGGGCGCTGGCGGCCCAATGCGCGTGCGTCAGTTCACTAGCCCGTTTCCGCCCCGCCCCTCCGTGATTCCCGACGCCTTGCAGCGCCGCCCCCGGAACGCATGCGCCTTCCATTAGCCGCGGTCTCCTAGATTCGCCACCTTCCACATCCAATGTTTGGTCCCCTCCCTTTTTAATCTCCCATGAACGCGCGTGTAAACACCTCTGGGAACGCGCTTGCCAGAGGTCCCGCCCCCTCCAAAATCCCTAAAAAGGGGGCGGGGGTGGGGCGGGGAAAAGCGCGCCTGGGCGAGGCCGGAAAGAGAAGAATCCTGCAGGAAGGAAAGAAGCCGAACTAGTTGGGACGTGACTGGGCATGCGCACGGGTTACCTGTCCTGAGCTGCCTTAACAATGAGCCTGCCGCGGCAGGAGGCAATATACTGCTCCCAGCATGCACCATGCCCGGGCTGCCGAGTGGCGCCCCAAGGTCTCCTGGGAGTTGCAGTTTTTCAGAGCCTCCTCTCCCTTATCCTGGAATGACCTATCGCCCACTTCGGATCCCGGCAGCGTCCCGGGCAACTGGCTGAGTCGCGGCCCAGACTCAGCTCTAAGGAGGGAGTTGAGGGGCAGCCCAGGGCTGAACAGGCAGGCGGTCACTACACCCTTGGTTCAGACTGCTGCCTATAATAGTGGAGCCCTAGAGATGGGGAAAGAAGAGAATCTCTTGTACAAGTATCTTCGAGGGAGTTTCAAAATCATCTGTAGTGTAATCTTTCTGGTTTTCTTAAAGGACTAAATTACCAAATCAAGGTTACTTTAGCTCCCAGTTAGGGCTATGCGCCACCTCCACACACACCCCCCATCCCCACCACCCGACTTAAACCCAGGCTCCCCTTGCTCCTGGTCCTGTCTTCTTTCCATTCCCCAGTAATCCAGCCTTTCTAGCTCACTCCAAAGACAATGGAAAGAGTTATTGTGATTATTGAATGAAAGTTAGGTGCCTGGCCTGGCATGTGGGGTTGTTCATTATGTGATGACCCTACTAAGCCCTCCCAGAGCTAACAAATTAGCTGAGGAGTGGCCATGAGGTGTGATTGGGCTGGCAAGGGGTCTGGAGGTCAGAAAAATAATAGGCCAGAGCTGGGCGAAGAAATGACAGGCCTCATAGAAATGCATTTCTAGGGCAGGTTTTTGGCAGCCAAGGCAGTATGCTACAAAGGACCTGTCTCAAAGCACACAGTGCAACTCTTTACCCATCCTTGCAGTGAAACAGGCATTTTCCAGTTCTGGGACATGGAACAAGGCATTCCACTTCTCTGAGTGTCAGGTTCCCCATCTATTAAGTGGAAAATAATAATACTTACCTTGGGTGTTGTGTGAGACCTACAAAAAACATATTTTAAGTGCCTTCATGAACAATAGGTCCTTTAGGGTTCCAGGGATTAGGACATGGACATATTTGGGGGGTCATTATTCAGCCTACCACAATGGTGTCAAATACTATTCTTATGCTCCTCACTCTCCTTATCTCTACCCCTGACCTCACCACTGAACTCTAAACTCATATCTAATGCTACTCTACTTTGTCACTTAACTGTTTAATAGGTGTTCCAAACATTCCTAAACAGTATCTTTAAGTCTACTGCATCATTCACTCAGTGGTTCAAAACTAAGTTTCTAAGAGTCATCCTTGATTCTTCTCTTCTCCTCACAACTCTTATCCAAACCATTAACAAGTCCTATCAGCTCTACCTCCAAAGTAGATCTTGAATTTTCCCACTTATATCACCTCTATCCCAGTCCAAATCACCATATGCTCTGGCCTCTACTACCAGTGTATCCTGCTTTCCTTGCTTCTTCTCTTGAACCCTTCCCCCATTCAGCCCAACCCCAACCTTTTCAATCCATTTTTATCGCAGTGGCCAGAAGATTTTGTTTCAAAATATAAGCCAGATCGTGTTACTCCTCTGCTTAAAATTTGTCACTTTCACTTTCAAGCGCCTTACAGAATCCATTGCACTTGAGATAAAATACTTCTCCAACCTCACCTCTCCTCCTGTTCGGTACTCTCTAAGCCCCGACTTGGAAAAATCTCAGAAACACCAACCTTCTTCCTGCTGGTGGTCCTTGCAGTGTTTACCTCTAGATGTTTTCTTCTCATCACTCAGTCTTCACCCCACTGTTAGCTCCTTAGAGAATATTACCCTACCACCTCTCATGTACCCTACCTTTTCATAACACTCACTGTCACGTCACCCTGTTTTGTTTTCCAGTCCTCTCTTCTGCGCAAAATAATCTTTGTTTCTTATTTATTTCTTAGTTTTCCCTTTTGTAGAAGAGAAGCACCAGGAGGAGAGAAAGGACCTTATCTGCCTGTTCATCATTGTATTCCCAGCCCCTAGAATAGAAGCTAGCACATTAGGAGGCATGCTGTAAGTGTTTGTCAAATGAATGACTAGAAAAAAAGAGAGGCAGGTTGGAATTTAACTCTTTTTTCCATTAGAGCATAATGGAAAGACTGGAATCTGGACCTTGCCCTAATTTCTGGGATGGGATGATCCTTGGGAGAATATATACAACAGGCAGATGATAATACCAACATGGTAAAGCCAACAGGTGAATAACTGGTATCCAAGAGAAAGGCCTCGTATGCAATTACCCCTTCTCTTCCTGGCAGCAGGCACAAGGGCTCCCTCAGCAGCGAGGTTTGGTGGCTCTGAAGCCTAGGTGCACATTAGAATGCCTTGGGAACTTTTTGAAAATGCAGATCCCTGGACCTTATCCCTGAATGACCAAATTTGATTTTCTGGGAGGTTGGCCTGAGAATATGAATATTTATAAAGTTTCAGGTGATTCTAAAGCAGGTGACCCTTGGTTTCTAGTCTTTTCTGGGAATCCCAGGCCTAGGAATCCAATGGAAGGGTGCAGGAAAAGTGATGAGTGGTACAGAGGGCTGGGCCTCCAACCATGGAGCACATCTCCCCTTCCCTTTTTTCTTCCCCAGCATGAGGGACTAGCCAGGCTACTTGCTCTACCACTGGTAACATCTTGTGTTTCTGATCAGACCAATGTCTTTTTTTGTGTGGTCCATTAAGTAACAGAACACAGCCTGTGGCTCTTTGCCCTCCTCACCTGTGCCAGAAGCAAGCCCAGGACTTTGGCAAAACTTTTCCCTTAATCTTTCTCTCCATTCTCTCTAGCCTGGGCAGGCTTGGGTTAACAATATGTTTTCATGTATACAAAGGTATGAAGTAAGGTTCCTCTATATATCTGTATCTACATATTCTTAAGTATATTTTTAGAGCAGTTTTAGGTTCACAGTAAAATTGACTGGAAAGTACAGAGAGTTCCATATAGCCCCTGCCCCCACATAGGCATAATCTCCTGCATATCTCCATCCCCCACCAGAGTGGGACATTTGTTACAATCAATGAACCTACACTGATACATCTTTACCACCCAAAGTCCATAGTTTATCTTTGGGTTCACTCTTGGTGGTGTATATTCTATGCGTTTGGACAAATGTATAATGACATGTATCCGTGATAATAACACCATATAGAATAGTTCCACTGCCCTAAAAATCCTCTGTGCTCTGCCTATTCCCAAACTCCTGGCAATCACTGATCTTATTGTCCCCATAGTTTTGCCTTTTCCAGAATGTCATATAGTTGGAATCACACTGCTCTAAATCTTCTGCATCAAGTAGTGTTAAATAGAATGTATGAAGCAATTAAATGAGGCCTATGAGGAATGAATGTGGCTCGTACATATAGTTGGTATGTAGACTTTTCAGATGGGCTTCTTTCATTTAGCAATATGCTTTTAAGTTTCCTCCATGTCTTTTCATGGCTTGATAGCTCATTTGTTTTTAGTGCTGAGTAATATTCCATTGTCTGTATGTATCATAGTTTGTTTATCCATTCACCTACTGAAGGCCATCTTGTATGCTTCCAAGTTTTGGCAATTATAGATAAAACTGCTATAAATATCCATGTTCCGGTTTTTGTGTGGGCATAAGTTTCTAGTTCCTTGGGGTAAATACCAAAGAGCCCGATTGCTGGATTGTATGGTAAGAGTATGTTTATTTTTATAAGAAACTGTCAATCTGTCTCCTCAAGTGGCTGTATTGTTTTGCCTTCCCACCAGTTAGGCTCCTCTGTATTTCAGAGGAAAAGTAATTCTCCTGGAATTTTCTGCAGAGGATCTAGGAAGGCAGGGTAGGATGAAGTAGGAGTGAAAACCAGCCTTAGGGAAATGGCTGCAGGTTGACACAGTGAAAGAAAAGAGAGAAGGAGGAAGACAGCTTGTTTCTGTTCCTTCTTTGCTTTGTCTTTACTAATAACATTCAGCCCCCAGCCCCCCTTCCCCACCCCCACACCCCCCCCCCCCCGCCCCCCGCCGCAGCCCCACCCATACACTGGCCCTGAACTGAACTCAAGTGAGAGGCAAGGACTGTGACTGATTAAGTCTGCTCCTTAGAAAACCAAGAGCAAAGCAAGGAATCCCAAGTGCATTTTGTCAAGAAGTGAATCCACTATTCCTACAACATAGTAGCTCTCAAAAAATGTTTGCTGACTGAAAGCATAAACGAAAACCTAAACTCCTCAGTTTACCCATCAGAGGTTTTAAATCTATCAGAATCCTTGGTTTAGCTTCAGGAAATTCAGGCCTACTCACAATTCCATGGACACTGTCTTCATTCTTTCTTCCAGCAAATCAGCGCCTCGTGTGTTCCAAGGAGTAAGCTAGGTGCTGGATCTAACCTTTGTGAAGTCAAGGACAGAGCTCTGTGTGGCTTATATCTTGATTTCATCATCAGACAGCTACTGGCTCTGGGCACAGTGAGCAAGTCGTGAAGAGGAGTTGGTGTGAGAAGGTTTTGGTTTAAAAAGTAAAGGTCAGGACTATGCTCAGGTTCTGCTGATGTGGTCAGTTCTGCTCTAAATCTTCTGCATCGAATAATATTAAATAGAATCTATGAAGGAACTAAATGGGACCTATGAGGAATGAATGTTGCTCCTTCCAAATACTGAGATGGGAAGAGGGGTGAAATATACTGCCATCTAGGCAAAATGACTAATCCATTTGGAAGGAATCAGTCTCTAGGTCTCATACACAACTACAATTACTTTACTAAGGAATGAATGTTTT